ATGCTCATAGACTTCGGCATTCCGATTTGTCTAGTGTGTACGTGCGGCGTAGCATAACATCCGAGGAGGCCTTGGATTACGATCTTCGTCAACAGGCACGTGCACGTAATCAAGGTAAGGCCAAAAAGAATGGGTAGTTTTCAGAGGTGAACTAAGGCGAACCTCTGAACTACCCAGGAGGTCGGGGCAGGTAAACTACTAAATACGCGAGGTCAAAGTGCACTCATATGTTTTCTTTTCAATTCGTCTTGTGAATAAGCTTTAGCTACTTCATGCCTTCGTATGGTTTCACTCTCCTGACATTGTCTATTACAGAAACGTGCTTAGCATGAAAATTTCAAGTGCTAAAATTCTATCTGATCTACCATATTCAATATATCGCTGTGATCGATCGTGCGCAGGATCAAGCGTGGGGTGTGGCACGCCACACCTGGGGGGTCTATTGAGGAGTCAAATGGGGAGGGGGTCGTAGTTGGGTAATCTGATAATAGTGATAGCATGATATTCGTATCATATCCATAATTAGCATGTCAATTAACCCCTGTAGACAAAGTTTAAGCGAATTCTGACGACTCAAGATACCAGGTTACCTAAGTGAAATGGTTGTTTTCCAACATGATTAACTTTGTTTCAAAGGTGCATTAGCTATCCGTTTTTGCACTCAAGACAAAGCACTACTCCTTCTTTGTCCATCTCAAAAATCCCGCTTCAAAAGACCCCCAAACTGTGAAATTAGAAGCCAACCAAAATCTCATTTTTTCCATTTTTCGCTTTTAATGGCTGTGCTTTCACCAAATATTACTCAAAGCTAAGAAGACAAATCAGGCTCAAAACACTCCTTCAAATCTACAAGGTTTAGGCTATCGATTCATATGAATACTATCCTCTAAAAATGTTTTTCTGATAGTTAATGGGGTGCGGCACACCCCCTTAAAAGCTGCGGCACCCCGTTAACTATATCAAAAAACATTTTTAGCAGACAGTATTTATATGACTCGATAGCCTACACCTTGTAGATTCCATAGGACTGTTTTGAGTCTGATTCGTCTTCTTAGCTCTGAGTAATATTTGGTGAAAGCACAGCCATCAAAAGCGGAAAATGGGAAAAACGAGATTTTGGTTGGCTTCTAATTCCACAGTTTGGAGGTCTTCTGAAGAGGGATTTCTAAGGTGAGCAAAGAAGGAGCAGTGCTTTGTTTTGGTGCAAAAACAGATAGCTAATCCACCTTTGAAACAAAGTTAACCATGTTGGAATTTGACCTCACTTAGGCAGCCTAGCATCTTGAATTTTCAGAATTCGCTCACACTTAATCTACAGGGGTTAATTGACATGCTAGTTATGAATATGTTGCCCATTATGTTTGACAGGACCTCAAGTAATGTTATCTTAAGTGTGTAGTTCAGGGGGGGGTCTTATTAAGACAGCATTCAGGGGGGGGGGGTCGTAACCAGCGATCGTGCCACACCCCTTGCTTGACCCTATCGTGCAGTAGAGGGGGTGGCGTGTGCTGCCTAATCAAGGATATTTTGCTCGTTGAACGTCTCACGTTTCGTAACAGAAACATTTCTGATCTTTTATGCTTAAACATTTTGTCGCCTGTTTTAAATCGTTCTTTGAAAATCATTTTGGTTTATCGCCCACTCTCTTCTACTGCGATGTATGACGAAGAATTAGCTACACTGTCTATGACTTGAGTTCATCGCCGTTGAGCACGATCATTCTTGGTGATTTCAATATTGATTTTGAAGCAACGCATGAAACCGCCCATGAGGGGAAGTTTTTGTCGTCTTTGCTGCATTGTGCACCTTTGCGAAATGTTGCGAATGCAACAAGAAATCATTCTGTTCTTGATTTGATTTTTTCGAGTAGAGAAATTGTCAGCAACGCTGATATTCTTCCGCCTTTTGGTGGTCCAGATCACAATGTCATCCCATTTCGAGTCTCTTGGACGTCTGTGATGCAGTATTTCTCCCTTAGCCTGCTTTGCAAATGCTGACTACACCGGCATTAGCAATGCCTTTTCTTCTATTGATTGGATGCAAGTATTTGTGTCCGCACTATGGACGTTGATGATCTCTATGGACGCTTCTGTAAAATTGTCTACGGCATTTTCGCGGACTTTGTACCCTTTCGGTTTGACAAACGTCAATCGCATGGCTATCCAAAACATATATGCAACCTGTTGCAGCAAAAGTCCCGTCTTTTTGCCAATCTACCTCATCCGCTTGTTGATGATACATTTTAGAAAAGTATGCTTACACATTAAGCATCATCTTATAAAGTATCTAGCCAATAGGGAAAGAAATCTTGCTAAGGCTGGTGCGAAGAAACTCTATGCTTACATCAAACTTTGCAGCAAAGGACAACAAAAACTTCCGTCCCTTTTGGATAATGGCAACAAACTTCTCAAATGTGATGAAGAAAAAGCTGTTGCTTCGGCAGAATTTTTTGCTGGGATCTTTACACATGGAAATGATAATGGGAATAATGTTAACGCAATTTCTCCATCCACTTCGTATCCCGTAATCTTTCCAGCTGCAGTGATATTCAAATATATCCAGATCTTTTGCTTAAAGCAATGAAAAGGCTAAGAGCAACGGTTTCCGTCACATATGATGGAATTCCTCAAATATTTTAAAAGGTGCCCGTTCTCTATGCTCCCCTTTGACATTTATTTTCAAAGCATCCCTATCAGTGGGTCAGGTTCGTAAGCTATGGAAAAATGCGTTGATAACTGCATTTCCGAAAAATCCTACTTGTAATTCTTTATCCAACTTTCGTCCTAAGCGTCACTCCGCCTTGTGGTAGGATTCTCGAAAAATTTGTCAAGGAGAAGCTAGGAGATTGGGTACACAAAAATCATGTGATACCTTCAGAACAGTATGGATTCCTACCTGGAGGAGCTACTTTCTGACTCACTTTTTGATTGGATTACTGCAATTAATCAAGACAAATCAATTGATATCATTTATTTCAATTTATCTAAAGCCTTTGATAGAGTCTGCACTGCAAACTGCTACTGCAAACTCTTATTCAAACTTGAAGAAATCGGAGTACATGGTAGACTACTGGCATGGATTGACTTGTATCTCAGTGAACGCAAAATGACTGTACGAGTCGGAAATGATTATGCGGACGAGTATGTTTGTAATAGTGGTGTTCCTCAGAGTAGGATTCTTTCACCGCTTCTTTTTCTGATCTATACCGCTGATATACCTGCCTTGTTAAAACACATCCAAATATCCGCATACAAACTTTTGTAGATGACTTGAAAATTTGCCTCGTATATGCTATAAGAAATGAAGTGGCTATTCTTTTGTACTTGACTCGGTAGTTGCTTGACTGCTATTGACTGAGTGTTGGTGCTCGCCGTTTGGTAGATACCAGCCACGCGGATTGCCAAAGCCAACCTCAAACTTGGGTAATTAAACTTTATTAGTAACTATAAAAATCATACAAACAACGTATAAATACGGTAATATGTGAGTATTACAGTTATATGAGTATAGAGGCGGAATACTTGTAAATGAGTTCGTAACTGAGTAGTAATAAGTGAGATTCGGAGAGTAAGTGAGATTATATGTGTAAGGCACCAAATAAATGAGCGATTAAGTGAGGAATAAATGTGAGGTTAACAAATGAGATTACAGGATGAGTTAAATGAACTGTAAAAATTGTAAGAAGCTCAAATGAATCACAGGCGGGCTCAGCGCTATTTATACGCCTCGCAGATAAAGAGAAGAAGTTTTTATGAAGGAGTTGAGGCTAAGCGCGAGTTGCCCTTTATTCATCGGAGCTTGAGAAATAAAGCGCATCTATTCAAATTAGAAGCAAACATGCACTTTAAGAAGCTGAAAGAAAGAAGTGCAAATTTTCTAGCTACCAAAAATGCACTTCTTGGTTAAGATGAGTAATCGTTTGATCATAGTACAGTTTTATGTGTCTAAACAAGATTTTTATATGATATATAGTCGTTAATGACGACACTCCGGTCCGGCGCTAGTCCGAGAAGTCCGTGTCATCCGTGTCGATGGTCATGGGAATAGGCGGGTCTTCTTTCTTTTCCTTTTCCTTCTTGTTGTCCCCTGGTTCCGGCTGCACGTTATCAGTGTCAGAATCCATGTAGTCAGTGGTATATTCTGGAGTCCTACCACCATCTTCATCTTCATCTTCATCTTCTTCGTCGTCCTCCTCCCATGGGTTGCGGGTTTGTGTTGGTTCATCATTCCCGCGAAGGTAGCGAGGCTCTTCTACTTGTTCATCATTGCGAGGCTCTTCTCCACGTTCACCTCTTGCGAATCTTAACAGTAGTGTGGCGTGTTCTACTTCTGTTTCGTTGCGATCTGCAGGTACACGTGGCAACTCCTCTTCCGCAATGAGCAACAAGTCTTCGAGTTCGTTGCGCTTCTTCACGATAATTGCGAGCGTTCGGTCCAGGAGCTTGACGTCTTCGACAGCATTGAACATGTGGTTCTCGTGTCTGATCTTGTCGACAGGCAAATGACGGTCTTGCCATGCTTGCCATCTTTTCATATCTATCTTCCCCGCACGAGCCTTCATTTGGTATAGCTGCTGCATGTAATGGTAGTTTGTGGCCACCTGGATCGTCTTCGCCTGCCGCTTCTTGGCTTCTTCTGCGAGTTTCGCATATTCGTGGAACCTCCTCATAGTTGGCAGGGGTTCATGCTCTTGCAAGTGTTCGAAGCGATCAAACTGCTGGATAATCTCTGCCGTTCTGTAAGTCTGGAACCGGAGGCTCTTCATTAGACTTTCCAACTCATCTTCGATTTCCTTTGCGGAGGAGTCTATCCAGAAACGAAGATAAGTGAGAGGACGGTGATGCGTTTCCCATGCCATTTCTTGAGATCTGGAACTAAGTACAATATAAATGCAGTTATTCTTCTTGAAGCTCTCTTTCACGTTCTGGCTATGAATGGATGTATACCTGATAATACAGAGAAAACAAGTAACAAGATAGCTTTCCTTATCTCGCTCCTTTTCAGTGGGTCTTGTTATGGCTTTCTTTTGCAACGTGCACGCATAACGCACTAATGCAACGAAATGGAGCCAGAAGCACAGTGCGAAGCAGCCGTAGCAGTTGTTTGAAGATCCAAAGAAAGCAGCGTATCCCACATGCGGAGAATATCACGTATGTCAGAGCCAGTAGGATTAGAAGAATGGCGGTAACTAGTAGCGCTGTCTTGTACCATTGCGCTACAACGTCGATAATGTGACTAAAGTCTGGCCATTCAGTCTCGGATATGCTGCTCGTGCCTCCTTCGACCCACTGCGTCAATATTGATTGTCCTGTCTGTGTGAATTTCAGGATACCTCCGAGTTGAAATTCAGTGGGGATAGAGCCGCACGAAACCGAGCATTTCATGTAAATTCGGGCAGAGTTGAAGCTGAATCTTAAAACAGACTTCGTTCCGTCTTTGGAGCAGCCGACTGTGAAGGTAGCTCCGTCACATATCACTTCTGCCTGAACATCACGCGTTGAGGTGCAAGTTACTTCTGCCATCGCGCCCTTTGCACACTTGTAACAGCCTTGGAGATCGGCGTTCTCGATTTTGCACACTGCATCCTCAACTATAACGTCAGTCGTAAAGTTACCTTGTACTGTCATGATTATTTCTGCCGTCACCATGTTCGCAATGCTTGCTTGCACTTCACCTTCTTGACCTAGCTTGAAAGAGACTGATGAGAAAACTGCTGGCAAGACGTGGTTGATGTTGTTGAACCAGGATGACAAGCTTACATTACTGCACTTACAGTTAGCTTGCGATTCAGCTGGGAAGCATGTACAGTTCTCTTCGAATTGACACTGAAGTTTCTTGGCAGCTGTTCGATTAGCGCATCTGAGAGGGAGTCGAAACCGATAGTCCCAGAGTGCTGTTGTATTCCCATCAGAAATGAACGGTCGGTTCAGCAATGGTATTGGCGGCAGAGTGATTGATGACAAGGTGAAAGTGAAAAATTTCCACATAATCGGGACGTTTGGTTGCATATGTAGAAGCCCCGTGAATGCACCGGAATTACGCAGGACTGCATCAAAGTGCGATAGTTTTATTATCGCAGCTTCACGCCAGCGGTTGCAGTGGAAGATTTCGTAGATCTGCGGAGAAGTAGGAGTTACATAGATGCGATAGAAGAGACATCCCGAACTCCAGTAAAAACAGTCGCAACCTGGTCCTCCGCAAGACTCCACACAGGCTGTGCTTCCTGGAAATTCGTTGCCTTCCGCTAGCTCTGGTATGATGCTGGTGGAATTGATTGATGCACATTTTTCTCCAGTGCAGGAGCCCGTATGTGGGCATCGCTTGCTGTCCACTATTCGGTACATGGTGTCACGCGTAAAGGTGTCCGTCTCTGGCTCACATGTGAGTTCCAAAGCTTTCCAGAATACTCGGATCTCGTGGACTGTAGTCCGGTTCCTTGTCAAACGAAAGCAAGCCTCTCTTTTGAACGGATTTACCTTGAGTATTTCTGAGAGCCGTAGATGACAGACTTGTCCTTTATCGGATTGTGTGCATACGCTGGATTTGTGGGAGAAGATATTCACGTATTGACATCCATCCGTCACGATGATAGCACTGACCAGACACGCTATGGCCAAAAGTTCTATCAGATCTCTTCTGAGTCGTCGTCTGGTTCTCTCCTTTCTGCTTCTTTTGAACAAGCAGCAGAGAGCCTTGCTCACAGTGTTGAGGCATAGTCGTAGTAGAATGCGAACAGGTTTTCCTACGACTACTGGCACATAGAAAAAGACGTAGCATCCTGTGAGAAGGAAATAGAGTATAAGTGCTATCGATATGATCGCTCCCACGGGCCAGCATTCCGGGTTGGAAAGGATGTCCGTACATAGGAAGCAGGTAACATGCTCACAAAAGGAAGCCGGAGGACACGTCAACTCCACAATCTGGATCGAGTTGTTCCTCTTCATTTTCCAGTGCACATTCTGTTCGTGTACCAGCACTTGAGGAGGAAAATGAACGGTTTCCAAAGCTTGAGGAAGCTCGAAGTATTGACAGAAATTGTCGGCACAGATTTCGTAGGGCGTATGGTCCTCGCTCCTTATTTCCACACCGCCAGCAAAGCATTGAATGTTCCGCAATGAGTTTGTGACCACCCAATTTGTCGGGTGTGCCAAGGATGGCAGGCAGAGAAAGAGAATACTTGCGAACAGTGTGAGCGGAGGAGATATGCGATATGATATAGATATGCGCAGGAGGAAAGGCGCTCTACGTTCTTTGTTGTAGCCTATTCTTTTGCGAGGCCTCAGATCATATCTCGTTCGAGCCGGTTCTTCTTGAGCCTTTTGAGGTTCCTCTTCTTGGGTTTCTTGCAGTAAATCCTTGGTCTTTTCGGTTCTGTCTTCCAATTCGAGAGGAACTAGAAGGTTCACCGGCCTGCGAATTTGCCTCCTTGATGGAAGTATCACCACAGCTTCTCTTATCTCGCCATCTGCTCCGGCTACTAGTTCAGTGATGCGTCCCATTCTCCAACAGTGCCTTGGCTGCATAGGATCGGTAATCAAGACGCAGTCACCTTCTTGAGGAAGCGATGTGGATTTACTGTGACCCACTTGCAACTTATGTTTTTCGCGGAGAGAAGTAAGGTATTGCATCCTCCAGATGTTCCAAAATCTTTCCGTAGCTTTGCAAGAGCTTTCTAGTGCGTCGATAGTTTGCTGTATCGTCAAGGCAACTTCTTCCCATTCGTCCATAGCATCTCAGAAGACCTTCGTAGTCCGGCAATATGTTCAAATGAGGCATGCTCGCGGTCACTTCTGGAGTACAGAGCGCTCTCTGGTGCACTAGAATGATGATCTTTCCAGCGTTCGAAACTTCTGCAACGCTAAGCTCCTTATGTTGAGCAACAACGAAATCATCGAGGAAGGTGGGTGTCTGAACGTTGAGACTACGTCTCAGGATTCTTTCCAACAGAATGTTAGCGAAAGGAAGAACTCTGGCGACGATCCTTTTGATTGTAGCGTAAGGATGGCCTTTGATTCGTTTAAATATGTTTAATGGTTGCTCCTTCGGAAGCTTTGCTACGAGTTGGGCCATCAACGGATCGGGAGATTGGGCGGTAAGGAACTTTTGTTTCTTGAACTTCTGGAAAAGTCTGCAATCCTCAGCCCAGTCCTTCGGAGAATCTAGCAGGAACGGAGGTCCTCTCCACCAAAAGTGGTTTTCCAGCTGACTCTTATCCAGTCCTCTTGTTCCGCAGTCCGCTGGGTTTTGATCCGTAGGTACATGCCCAAAATACACCTGTATATCTTGGCTTATCAGGTGATCGCTTATATCGTCGATTTCTCGTAGTCTGTTGTATATCATCACTCCATCCTCTTTGCGCGGCTTTCCTTTGATCCAATAATAAACGATCTCGGAGTCGGTGAAGACGTATACATCATGGATTACGACGGTTGAGCGTAACTGCGTCACCACAGAATTCAGCAGTCTCATCGTCAGCGTGGCAGCATTCAACTCCAACTTGGGTACTGTGGTTTCATACTTGAGAGATGGGAGTTTCGCTTTCGCCATCAAGAGGTCAATAGTGTTGCCGTACTTCAGATATACGCAGGCAGCAATGGCTTCTTTACTGGCATCAGCGAACGCGATAAGGGTCACGGATGTGCTTCTTTGCGACGAATCTGGGTAACTCCTTGGTGAAGTTGTTGATTTTTCGGCATATGTGATGCCATTCCTCCATACGATCACTTGATAATGGAGTGTCCCAGTCCACCTTGTCCTTCCAAAGTAATTGAAGGAACACTTTGGGTTTGTGGAGCAGCGGTAGCATCCATCCCATTGGATCATAAACAGAAGCTATTGCGCTTGTGACTGCTCTCTTGGTGAGGATTCTCGGTTCGTTCATCTTGCATGACAAAATCAGCCGATCTATGAAGGAGTTCCATGGGATTCCAAGTATTTTTGTAGAAACATCCGACGATCTGTCGATCTCAGAAATCTCGCTTGCAAGCCGTTGATTGTTGCAGACGAATTCGCGGATGTTCATGCTAAGCTCTTTGAACATGCTCTTGATTTTCTGGTAACAGCTGAGTGCTTCTTCAACCGTGTCTGCCGTGACCATCAAGTTGTCCACATACAGGTTCTCCATCATCTCCTGTACTAGCTTGAGATCATCTTTGTATTGGTCCAGATGATAATGCGTTGTAGCTGCGAGTAGGAAGGGTGAAGCATTTAATTCAAATGGAATCCTCGTAAACCTCAGGACTAAGAGGTTGCTCTGGGTGGGTGGTAGAGTACAGTCTCGTAGCCACAAACATCTGGCCGCGTCGCGATCTTCTTCATGAAGTCTGACTTGTAAGAATGCCTTTTCCACGTCAGAAATGATCGCTATACGTTCAATCCGGAAGCGTAACAGCACTCCGAATAATTGCGGTAACATCACTGGGCCTCGGTGCAGGACATTGTTGAGAGAGTAAGAATCTTTGTAATGAGCCGAAGCATCGTACACTACTCTCAACTTTGTCGTCTTCTTATGCGGAGTGATGACTGCCTGATGGGGTAAGTAATGTACACGCGTCTGTTCCGTCGGACCTCTGGGAACATACTCCAGAATGTTGCGCCGCAACTGGTCTTGAAACACTTCATCGTATTGTTGCAGCGTATTCGGATCCTTCCGAAGTGACTTCCACAGATTCGCCAGTCGACGGTACGCTATGTACTTATTGTCCGGCAGTGTCGATATGTGTTTTTTCCACGGCAATCTGACATAATATCCGTCTTCGCGCCTTTCTACCGTCTTGATGAAGTCTTCATGGACGATGTTGTCAATTCGAGCTTGCTCATCATTCTGCGACTGACCGAATTTCTCGGTGCCTGCTGCTTCCAAGGACCAGTACTCTTCCCAAGCCTCTTGCTCTCGCTCTTTCTCGGCCTCACTGGTATCCTCCGCAGCCATCGATACGGTATTGACTTCTGTATCTAGAGTCCAATAGCCATCCCACTTGTCTTCGTCTTCAGATTCGGTAGTGTCCTCTGGAATGGCGGACTGGCCTGATACCAGATATCCGAAACTTGATTCAATGAGGTGGAGGCCGGACGGCAGACGAACATGGGTTTTGTCGTCGTTGACAACGAATGACCACATGCTGTCGCATCCTAACAATATCTTCGGACTGCATGTCTTCGGACTTGTCATATCGAACGAAATATTATTCTGCCGCATAAAGTCTGCATCTTCATCGGAAAGCAAAGGCGCCTCAAAAGATCTTGTCACGATATCGTAAGTGAGAAGGTCCATGGTAACTGGCGCTCCTTTCACATCCCAGGCGTTTAGTCTAACAATATCCGCAGCCTTCTCTTGGATGGAGTCAGTTCCAAAGGTATGGAGACGCAGTTTTTCTTCTCCAACTTTCGTAAGGTGCAACTCCTCTGCCAATTCTCTGTCAATGAAGGATGCTTCTGCTCTAGTGTCGAAAACTACGCAAATTTTCCTCAACGTGTTGTCTTTTTCGTTCAACGCCGTCACTTCTCCAGTCAGAAGAAATGTTCGATGTTTACGGTTTGAATGGAGTTCGCAGACAACCGTGTCGGTAGCAACCTCATCATTTTCGCGTGCCAGGTGATTGACTTTCTTCGTTGACTTCGTCTGTGAAGTCTGCCGAGGAGCGCTTCCTTTGCTTTTCTCCTGGCTCGATGCGGGAGCGGTTCGCATTGATGTGAATGCGCCATCTTGCGCACTTTTGAAACAACAGGAAGTGTGATGCAAACCTTGGCAGTTGAAGCACTTTCGTTTCTGGCACTGAGAGGTTGCATGTTGAGGAGAGGCGCAGATGAGACACAGTTTGCGTTCGCGTAAATATTGCGAACGCGTTTTCGGAGTAGAGTATTTTGTACAAGCGATAGACTTATGGTTCCCCCCGCAGAACATACATGATCGGACGTACGTCTGTTGGGGTTCCTTTCGTGCTTTCTCTTTACGAGGCACGCTAAGTTGAGGTTGTTGAGTTTCCTTGCTCGTATAAAGTGACACAACTTCTTCGCATGATATAACTTCTTCTATGAGGTTCAGAAGATCATGCATTTGAAGCGATTCTTGCTCCTTTGATGCGTGCTTCTCCATCAACACGCTGCGTTGTATGTAAGTAGGAAACTTGGACAACACTTGTTTTTGTAACCACTGACTATCGATACTCTCTCCTTTGTGTTCCAATTGTGCAACGATGGCTTGCAGTTGCTCGAGAAGAGTTCTTTGATTTCGTACTGATAATGATCTTGAAGTACATTTCTCGAGTCTTTCGATAAGACGTTGAATAAGTTCATCTGCATTGCCATACTTGCGTAGAAGAAAATCGACGGCTTTTTGGTAGTTTTCTGCCGTTATTTGGAACTTTCTGACTGATTCGCGTGCTTCTCCTTTCAATGCAGAAGATAATTGAATTTGTACAACTGCGGCAAATCCTGGGAATGTATATTGGCATTAAACAATTCCCAGAAATTGTCCCGCTCCCAAATATCTCCGTGAAATGACGGTATTGGTAATGTGGGAAGTTCAACTCTTTTTGATTGAACGGCGCTGGTCGGTGCGTTCTGTTGTTCTCTCGTCACTTGCGAGGTGGCAGTTGTCATACTGCCCCACGCCTTGAATGCGCGGACTCTCGCTTGTAGAATGAGAAGATAGTCGAACGCTTCACTGAGGCAAGTCTCTGCTCTTGTAGAATATTCTTCAAAATCTTGTTGCTCTTTCGGTTCTGGCTGGCTCAATGTGGAAAATGAGGAAGCATAATCTTGCGTAACGTGCTCGATTTTTGCAATGGCAGCTTCGATAGCTCCAATGGCTGTTCAAACTGTTGAACATAATCTCTGATTGCTTGGAAGTTTTCGGCCTTCGCCTCCGCAATAGTGAGGTCTTCGAGCCCCTCGTTTTTGAACCGTGAAACAATAGTGTCCAATTTGTTGACATAGTGCGCCAGCATGCGCTTCGGAACCGTAAGTTTGACTGACATGTCGATGGACTGTAGGAGTGAGCGAAAACAAGAGTATGCAATGAGTTGAAAAGCACTTGTGAAGAGAGCCGTTCGATTCAGCAACAATCGGAGTTTGAAGATCAAAACATGCAAACCGACCTCAATGTGTCGTGCTTGAGCCGATGCACCATATAAGAAATGAAGTGGCTATTCTTTTGTACTTGACTCGGTAGTTGCTTGATTGCTATTGACTGAGTGTTGGTGCTCGCCGTTTGGTAGATACCAGCCACGCGGATTGCCAAAACCAACCTCAAACTTGGGTAATTAAACTTTATTAGTAACTATAAAAATCATACAAACAACGAGTAAATTCGGTAATATGTGAGTATTACAGTTATATGAGTAGAGGCGGAATACTTGTAAATGAGTTCGTAACTGAGTAGTAATAAGTGAGATTCGGAGAGTAAGTGAGATTATATGTGTAAGGCACCAAATAAATGAGCGATTAAGTGAGGAATAAATGTGAGGTTAACAAATGAGATTACAGGATGAGTTAAATGAACTGTAAAAACTGTAAGAAGCTCAAATGAATCACAATCGGGCTCAGCGCTATTAATACGCCTCGCAGATAAAGAGAAGAAGTTTTTATGAAGGAGTTGAGGCTAAGCGCGAGTTGCCCTTTATTCATC